AATAAAGACATTTAAAAATGGCTATTACTTTTTCTTATTCTATTTTTAAACATGGTTTCCTGATAAGAGATCTTGTTTTATTAATAAAATACTATTGCCAGCATTTTACTTGGAAAGTTCAAGGATCATGTACTATCATCTCAAATCAGGAAATAGCAAAATGGAAAGAAGACAAAATGAAAGGAAATAAGAACAACATTCTTCAAACCCTGGGGAACATGAGGTGAAACCAAAATAAAACCACCTTTATTGTAGATGACATGCTGCCATTGTTGCACAAGTCTTAAGAAATCTGTGATGGGGAAGGAGGGGCGGGGGGGGGGGGGGCAAGGCAAGATGACAAGGAGTGCCCACTCCAATGTCTTAACTGTGGGAGCTCCTGTTACTTCCTCTTCCTCTCATCGATGTACATTTAGATCCTGGCCCGTCCAAACATAAAGACACCAATTCCTCAGAGAGTCCCTTCTTTGCCATATCTGCAATACCTTCCCCTCCCCCCCATATCTGCAATACTTTATTTGAACTTTCTATCTAAAAGGTACAGCGTGTAACATAATTGTCTTATTACTTGAATATACTGAGGCTGTAGCACCCTGGTGGTAGAGTACCTCTTTGGTGTGAAAGCCACAGCATTCCGAGAGAGTTTTCCCATCGCATAGGTCTGTTTTTTCTTATAATTTAACACCAGAGCCTTCTAGCAGTGGTTCTGGGAATGGAAGAAAAGCCAGTTCTCTCTACTTTTTCATACCACTGACAGTCAAATAACATCACGTAATTATTAGGGACTTTTGAGGTTGTTTAACACTTATTCGTGCACACACACACACACACACACACCATTTCTCTTTCTTTCCCCTGAATATTTGATGAGCCATTTTGCTTTGCAGTAAGACCCAATACCGTATGTATAATTGCAATGGTTTATAAGATGCAGCATTGGCCCCTGCAGTAAGCTCGATTATACCTTTCTCCAAGTGTTCATGCCTCCACAGACAAGCAAGGGCAGCTACCAAAAAACAGGTCACAGGACTCCATACTAAACCTGCTAACACCCAGCATGGGTGGGAGAAGTCATGGATTCTTCTTGTCAAACTTTTTTTTAATAGAGAGGTACTTTACACATCAGTTGGGGCTACTTTTTTTTCAAATAAAATGCCTTCAATTAAAACTCTAATCAACATGGTTTCGTCTTTCCCAGATGAGTCAGAGGAAGTTCGGGCCCCACACTGCCTCTGAATCATCTGGGAACATCAGCTCTCTGTAGCGGAGAGCCCCCGTACCCTGGTTAATGCCGCGTCTGCTGACGTTTCTCAGGAGGAACGAACGGATTGTTGTGCTTTTATTACAATCCAGTGGGTGGTTAGGTATGATGTTTACCAGTCAGCAGCCTTTCAAATACATTTCATCTGGTGTGTGGGAGGTTAGAAATGTTAACATTTTGTCTTGAGCAGGAGCATAAACTAGATGTTGAGCTAGCATTTGGATGTCTTTTTTAATAAATTCTGCTTAGGTTGAAATTAGCACTCACATACATTGCTGGTGTCGCATGCCTTTCTGGAGGGCAAGTTGTCAGTGTGTATCAAAAGCCTTTAAAGTGAGCATACTTTTAAACACAGACATGCTAACTTCGGAGAATATTTCCTGGGTGAGAAATTGAACAAGTGCTAAAAGTATAGCTATAATGACGTCCTTTCCAGCATTGTTTATAAGAACATAAATTTGGAAAAATATTAACTATCGGGGGAAAATGGGTTAAATAGATTATAATACATTTATATAATTACAGTATTCATCTGTACATAGAATACTGTGTTGCTGTGAAAATTATATTTTACTAGTATGTTAAAAATAATCATAAATGAGGTAAATTTAAAACTGTTTATAAAGGTCCCAGTACATATATATATATGAAACATAATTCCACTTTGTTAAAAAAAAAACATCTGTGATACATGGGAAATGTCTGGTAGGATGCATCAAGTATTAATCATTATTATGTCTGAGTTGTGTGATTAAGGAACACATTTTCACTTTCTCTTTTATATATTTTGTATTGTCTGATTTAAGAAAATAAGTGTATGTTACTTTTAGAATCAGAAGAAATGAACAATTAAGTTCTTTTCAATTTTGAAGGAAAAAATATAAACCTGTGTAGTTATGTGAAGGGCAGGTTGCTGTGGGACAGACCTAAAAGCAAGAAACTACCTGGCTTTGCACGCCAAGGACTAATGCAGCGAGCCTCACATTTAAAGAATTTCCACGCATGTCGAGTCGTTTGGTGTGGACACAACTTTACTTACGAAGTCAACTGATATGTTATCAAGCCAGCAACTGGGCATGTTATGATTTCAAAATACCATGCAGTCCTTTTGCCTCCTTTTTGTTCTTTGAAAACAATTTTAATTTGCATATTCATCAGTAGTAATAAAAGATCCTTAAAAATCTAGTTCTGGTAACTGTATATCCTAGGCAAGGGGCTACCCATGGAGAGTGATAGACTGTAAATTTCAGGCTCTACCAAGTGAAAAGAGTTAAAGGAGACTGGGTATAATCTGGTTGTTCAGGCCACTCCTCCAATGAGAACTCTAAGATGAAGAAAGGTCGAGTGTGATTTAGCCTCAGTGGCAGGTCAAGTTTGTGTCAGAACTAAAAGCCAACAACATCCAGCTGCGAAGCACATGGGTAGGTGGGAGGAAGACACTAACATCTCTCATTGTTCAAGCATAGTGGGAAATTAAGGGCTAAAAAAGAAATTCCATTCAGGAAAGGGGGGTAGTTCTGTTTGTAGCCTAGGATGTCCCATATGGAGCTTTTATGTCTCTTGCTTATCTTGGAAAAGGAAGGTCCCAGTAATAGCCAAGACCTCGTGGCTGATCCAGAGATGTAAAAGAACAAATTAAGACTTTGTGTTTGATTGGCTTGGGAAGCAGTCATTAAGGACCCTGCTGTGGTTAAAGCTGTCTACTGAGAAATAAGCCAAAGGAATATTAGGCCAAGAATCTGAAGACTGAAGCCAAACCACTGGGAAGGTCTTGTGACTGCAAACTACAATGTGATTGAATTAGAAGGGAACATTCAAATTGTGTCATGTTGTCACCTCAAGTTCAACGAGTCTAAAATTGAACTCATCTTTCCTCATAAAGCAGCTCCTCAACTGCACTTTCCTGAGAGCAATAACATACTCTGCTGGAGAATGCCTTACCACAACACCCACGATTTCATTAGACTCGCACACACTTTCAGACAAGGCAATTTAAATCCGGTTAATCAAGGGCAACCAGCGAGTGAGAAGCCAGTTCTAGAAACCAGGTTTTCTGAATACTAACCTAGTTATCTTTCAACTATATCACACTGCTCTTGTCACCACATTCACAGAAATAAACCAGCTGGTGACATTTTATTTATATTGGAATTTGAGTATTACACACTAGCAGATTTTAGTAAGTATAAAGTCAGATTTTTCTGAAGTAGCAAAGAACCAACCAACCAACCTTAGGTTTTGTTCATTTTGTGTTTTATAAGCTATCTAGGTGAAAAAAAATTCATAGCATTTGCATTACTGAAGTCAAATCGCTTCGGATCTACGCCTAAACATGCCTGGTTTGTAAAATTGACCACAGCAAACCACTCCCAGTTATTAGGTTCATGTTGTTGGTATAAATTGTATGGTTCCACATACAAATTTATATTTTTGTTTTTTTCATTTGTACATTATTTTAGCTTTGTTGTTATATAAGAAGTACAAGCATGAAACGTTTGCATATCGGGATATCTATTTGTAGATATGTAAGTAATCTATAATAATAAAAGCATAATATGCTAATTAGACCAGACGTCCTTCCAGATGTCCTTCCGGACAAAGCCGAGGCGGGTGGGGGCCAAGGTCCTTGCACAAATTTCATGCATCGGGTCTCTAGTATTGTGATAAAAGTGCTTTAACTAATGTAAAAAGCAGCCTTCTGCACAGCGCATCTCCACCCCAACCCATGGGCCCATCAGGCCAGCGTGTCCCTGGGCCAGCACATCCATCCTTCTCTGCACTGTGTATCTCCATACACATTAATCCCTCAAATGTACCCAAGTCAACCATTCAGGTCATTTCCTCCTGAGTCTGGGCACCTGTCGTTCCCAGCTCCAGTTCTTTATTGGGGAATAAGGAAAACACATCTAACGTGATGGTATTGATTGTATCATTTCCCTAAATAGGCATTTGCTTCAGCTGAAACTATGAAAGCTAAATAAAACAGATGCATGTGTAGCCCTCTGTGCCTCTTCTACCTGCCCTAGCCCTTAAGTGTCTACGTAAATGCACACATGGTACTGTGGGCTACCATGATGTGCCCAGCATGGGTTTTTAGAACAAAAGAGGAGCCTTAGGGGGAACTGCACTGACTTGGAAGCCTCCTTTCAGTTGTCACCTCTCTCCTGTGAAAAGGAACTAAAAGGAAAATATAAAATCCAAGCAAAGAGGCTATTCTGCACTCGATTTTAATTAGGGGTTTGGGCTTTTTAATGTCAAAGTCCTGGTTTGGTTACTCAACTTGATTCTTTTCTGACCTTGTGACAGTGTCTATACAGAAAATGAGTACAACATGCTTCGACTCTTTTTAGTAAGTGTTTTGATTATTTTCAAATGTGTTTTGATGCTTTGGGTTTCTGTCTCTAAAGTTTACAAGCCGGTCCTGGGCTTAGTAAAGACTACATATGCTAATGTAGTCTCTGAAGGCAAGTTGCTTTTGTGTAGGTTTTTAAATTTAAGCTGTTTATTTGATCATTGAAAATTATCTTCTGTAGATGTTGGGTTAGTGCTTTTCAGATCCGTACAAGTTTGAAAACTAGAGATTGGGTCTCTAAACGTAAGGAACGGAACCTTCCTTTTAGAACTCTGTGGTTCAATAGGAGTCCAGTTTAGAAAACGACTCGGGGCGGATTCTGCCAAGAAGATGGTAAGGATGGTTGGCAGTTGGCATGCTCAAGAGGTTGTTTGTGTGATGTTGCAGAATCGCCTACCAGAGGAATGACGATGATGAGGAAGAGGCTGCCCGGGAACGGCGTCGGCGAGCCCGACAGGAAAGGCTGCGGCAGAAGCAAGAGGAAGAATCCTTGGGGCAGGTGACCGACCAGGTGGAGGTTCACGCCCAGAACAGGTACTGTCCTCTTCAGAATGGAAAATGTCTAAGTTGCTTCCTAGCCTGTCTGATGAATGGAATGTGTTGGGCAAAACATTCCCTTCTCGGCCCAACTCAAAGTCCTGGTTAGTCTTTTCAATCTAATTTGTTTAATTATTTCATGGCCCTTTTAGGCAACGAATCAGATTGAACAGTAAACTGATTTCAGCTATAGGACACCACTATTCCTTTCTCTCCCCCCAGCCCAAACATACCCCAATGGAATGATTTTATTTTATAATCTAATCATTTTTATTTACTCAATATGGTGGGTTATAGCTTTAAATAAGGGGAACTATTTACATTCATTCTTTAAGCTATTGCTATCTGTTTTGAGCTAAAGATTTATTAACTCAGTAGTTTTCTGTGCCTATCAACAGCAAATAATACTTTAATTTTAAAAATAGGCATGAATTGCAAATGTCTTGGCTTTCCTGATATACAGCCTGAATCGATATTCTGTGATCACTACAATATTCAGCAAGATGCAAAAATCCTGTTTAATTTAATGTAATTACTCCAACAAGCTTATGAGTTTACTTCTACATTTTTTCTATACATGCCCTGGTAGAAATGAAGAAAGTTGAGAGCACCTAAGAGATTCAACTTCTTCTAAAAGGGCTTTTACAAATTCACACGTACAAGGTCACACAGTCCATTATGCCAATGATTAGTGTATGCCATTTATATGCCATAAGGTGTAGAAAAGATGAGGAGGGGAAAGGAGAGGGAAAACGTTAATATTAATGTATAATTATGGACTGATTAAATATAATGAAACCACCATATAAGATCTTGTATGTGGTTTTGGTATTAGTTTGTTTTATTTTGTGTGTTTAAGGGCACTATTGACAGTTTCTTTAATTCAATCTATCTAGAAAATTCTGAATGGGAAGAGTTCTGGCCTCTTTAGCCCAAATTTGAGTGGGCACACAGGAGGTTTCTGAAGGCAGTCTTGAATATGCTGGTAGGCAGAATGAATTCAGTAAGAAAACTTAATGATTAGGTAGAGAAATAGAGACCATGTCTCTTGAGAAATAGATCATAAATAGGAGAGAATATAGCAAAGGGGTTGTAGGTATATTCCCTGAGGTTCACTACTTGGCTTCGAATCTGCACTTGACCTTTCACTAAATGTATTTCTTCAGTTAAATGAATGAAAATGAACATTATACCTTTCTCTTAGGAACATTGCTGAATTTAAATGAGATAATAGAACATGTAAAATGCACAGTGCTTTGCGCAGAGTTAGCACCTGGTTTTAATTATTATTAGGAAGATGGTGTCAGAGTCTTAACAGAGGAGGGCTGCATAGTCATTCACTGCCTTTCCGACTTTTGAGCTGAGGATGGAAGGGGGAAAAGAGCTTTGAAATAGCTCTTGCCTGAATCTGGTTATCAGTGAATGATCAACAATGGCTGAAAAAGTTACTCGTGGTCTATAGTTTTTCTTTTCAAATCTTGCTTCTACTTGAATTTCTCTCCTTTTTCACATTTTATTAATAACAGTTATTTCATGCTATTGGTTGAACACAAAAAAAATTCTTTTCTTTTTTCAGTAAAGCATGTGTGATTTACCTCTAAAATATAAACAACCCTAACTGGTACTTAACTACTGGTGATTGCTGTCATGATTTATAAACAGGCGAAGAAAGGCCCAGCAGAATCTGTTGGTTTCTTAACTCCAGAGTACTTTCATCTGGCTAGCACTTTACAGTTTGGGGCACCTTTAAAAAATTATTTAAATTCAGTTGATCCAAATGCCTATGTATATAGACTTTCCCCCTTAAATTCTAAACCATTTGTATTTCCGGGGACATGTATGTAATCCTTACATGTCCAATTCATGGAAACAGTGTCCTGTAGCAACAAGCTAAGGCCAAGAAAGTTTAAAATCTAGCCTTTGCTCTGCCATTTCTTGTTGTTAAATGTGAAACATGTTTTTCCAAAATTAAGTGAACTTGAACTTCAAAGGGGCCAAGTTCAGTATGAACCATGACATTTGATGGAGTTTCTAAACATTGCAAGACATATTCTTCCAACTCTGGCCACAGTTCCTGGTATCACATGGCTGGCTGTTTCCTGCCAGCAGAGACCAACACCCCTGGCTCAGGCAGTGTCCAGCGTCCTGCAATAGGGAGTGAGGTGATGGACATGGTACAATGTGATTTTTAGGGATTTTCTTTTCTTTTTAAATAAACATCACATTTCACTGTTCTTTGTCTACTGTGGAAAGAAGAGCAAAAGATCCCAGATTCATGAAAGTCTTAACAAAGAACATAGACAGTGTGTATATAAGTGAGGGGAATGTCAGCTGCTAAAACAATGAGCCCCCACATTTTAGTCGTTTAATTCAATAATACATACCAGTCTGGTGTGGTTGCTTCTGGCGAGTAGGTAGAACTGGTCACCTACTTTCTTTCCTCTTGTGACTCTATCAATTCCTGGGGCTTTGGAGTCCTGATCTAGCCGGCAGAGAGAGAGCGGGTAGAGAATGCACCCTTGCTTCCTAGTTATCTTGGTCTGGACACATCACTTTTGCTCACATTCAGCTGGAAATTATTGGTCACATGGCTCTACCTAGGTGCGAGGAAGAAGGGAGGGTAGAGAATATAATATCTGACCGACAACCTCTTCCTGTGACTATGGAAGGAAGAGCATGAATTGTGGTGGACAGTCACATGCCTCTACCACGGGGGTCCTCGGTGTGAGTATGACATGTCCACGCCATTATGTACAGTACACTCCCTCCCTCTCCAGGTACTTTGTGTTCCACAAATCCAGTTCAAGGACTCTAGCTGACTCGGTGACATGTGAAAGTCCTGTATGACACTAGAGGAATACACTTAGTATTTCAGTGTGGTCCTTGTCTCAGTTTGAGTTTCCCACGCCGCAGATCCTGAAACAAGGATTTGACCGCAGTCGCTTATTTGTAAAATGACCCCAGAAAACACTGGGAGCGGTGTGGGGGAGTGACACAGGGAAGGAACGGCAACCAAAGAAAGGTTTCATTGCCAAGCAAGTGACCGCTGTGGGCACCTGGAGCTTCTCTCCCCGGGGAACTCTAAGATGCAGGCAGCACAGGCACTCAGAACGATCCAACCCAAAAGGTGCGGGGAGGGGAGGTCTGTATACACCAGTGCTCATCAATGTTTGTTTGACGTCTGCTCCCAGGAAACGTTCATATCCAAAGCGCGTCTGGCCTGTAGAGTAGACTGCCGTGGCCAGAGAAAGACAAAGACGGCGGGCACTGACTTGCACATGCTGTCAGTTAGGGGAGGGGGGAGGGGGGGGCAAGGAAGGCGAGGGGAGGGGGGTATATGGGCATGGCACTGCCAGCCTCTGCCATAGGGCCAGTGTGGGTCGGGGATGCGCTGACGGACTAACCAGCAGCACGCTGTCTCTGGTGGTGTTTCTGCCTGCAGTGTGCCGGACGAGGTCAAGGCCGCCACCAC